CCTTGTGTATATGATATATTAAAGTATGAAAATGTGCTGTATGACATACTTGATTAGTAATGAAAGAGTTGTAGAATCAACTACTCTTTAACTCTTTTGCTCCAAAAGTTCCCATAACATGGTGAAATTAAGCTTAAGCACACACAGGACGGCCTGCTGGGACATTGTAAACAAAACCAACACCTGATTTTAGATAAAGGTTCCAAAATGTACAATGGAAGAAAGAAAGCATCTTCAACAAATGGTGCTGGCATAACTGATGTCGACATGAAGAAGACTACAAATAGATCCATATCTGTTGCTGTGCACAATACTTAAGTTCAAGTGAATCGAAGACCCCAACATAAATCCAGTTACACTGATCCTGATAGAAGAGATAGTGGGAAGTAGCTTTGAATGCATTGGAACAGTAGACAACTTCCTAAACATAATACCAGTAGAACATACACTGAGAGCAACAATTAATAAAAGGGACATTCTGAAACTGAAAAGCTTCTGTAAAGCAAAGGACATGGTTAATAAGACAAAATGGCAGCCTATAGAATGAGAAAAGATCCTAATCAACCCCACATCAGACAGAGGGCTGATCTCCAAAATATATAAAGAACTTAAGAAACTAGACATCAAAATATCAAATAATTCAATTTCAAAATGGGGTACAGAACTAAACAGAGAATTCTCAACAGAAGAATCTCAAATGGCCAAAAGATACTTAAGGAAATGTCCAACATCCTTAGTCATCAAGGAAATGCAAATCAAAACAACCCTGAGATACCATCTTGTGGTGTGGAACAATGGTCTCTATTCTATCAATTATATTTTAAATAAATGCTGATGGGCCTGTAACCAGGCAGGAAGTATAGGTGGGACAACCGGAAAGGAAATAGTGGCAGGTCAATGAGAACAGGAGAATTCTGGGAAGAGGAAAGCTTGATTCGACAGCCCTGACCCAGCCAAAGAAGAAGCAAGATGTGACTGCCTTGCTGAATAAGGTACCGAGCCACGTGGCTAGCATAGACAAGGCTAATGGGCTAATATAAGTTATAAAAGTTAATAAGAAGCCTGAGCTAATGGGTCAATCAGTTTATAACTAATGTAGACCTCTGTGTGATTTCCTTGGGACTTAATGACTGTGGAAACTGTGCAGGACAGAAACCCTGACAATAATCTTGCATGTGTCAGAATGACTAAGATCAAAAACATTGATGATGACTTCTATTGAAGAGAATGTGGAGTAAGGTGAACACAACTCCACTGCTAATGGGAGTGCAAACTTTTACAGCCATTTTGGAAATTAATATGGCACTTTCTCAGAAAATTGGGAATCAATCAGCCTCAAGACCCAGTAATATCACTCTTGGGCATATACCCAAAGGATGCTCAATCAAACCACAAGGACACTTTCTCAACTATGTGCACAGTAGCATTATTGGTAATAGCCGGAACCTATAAACAACCCTGATGCCCCTCACCTGGATAAAGAAAATGTGGTACATTTATACAATGGAGTATGACTCAGCAGTAAAAAACAATGACATCATGCAATTTGCAGGCAAGTGGATGAAACTAGACTTAAAAAAAAAATCATCCTGTGTGAGGTAAAGGAGACCCAGAAAGACAAACATGATATGTACTCACTCATAAGTAGAAATTAGATGTAAAGCAAAGGATAATCAGGCTACAATCCACAGCCCCAGAGAAGCTAGGTAACAAAAAAGACCCTAAAAGGGATATATGGATACCTGGGAAGGAGAAATAGATAAGATCTCCTGGGTAAATTGCAGGCAGTAGTGGAGGTTTGTTGGATAAAGGGGAAGAGATGGAGGATGAGAACAGGAGGGAATGGGATGGTCATGTTGGGAAACGGACAGAGAGGGAGATGAAAGAGATATCTTGATAGAGGGAGCCATATGGTATTAGGGAAAAAAATGGTGCTAGGGATATTCTGAGGCATCCACGGGATGGCCCCAGCTAAGACTCCTAGCAAGAATGGAGAGCACCTGAAGGAGTCTTCTCTAATCAGTTCAGTGACTACTCAAAGTGTCAGCATAAACCCTTCATGTAGTAGCTGATGGAAGCAGGTGCAAAGATCCACAGTCAAGTAACGGGCCAAACTCCTGGAGTCCAGTTGAACAGAGGGAGGAGGGATTATAGGAACAATAGGGATCAAGATCATGATGGGGAAAGCCATGGAGACAGCTGACTGGAGAGTTCATGAACTCTGGACTGACAGCTAGGGAGACTGCATAGCACTGAACTAGTCTCTCTGCATATGGGTGACAGTTGTGTGGCTTGGTCTGTTTGAGGGGCCCCTGGCAGTGGAACCAGGATCTATCTCTGGTGCATGAGCTGACTTCCCTGCATGAGTTCATTCCCTATGAATGCATGAGTTCATTCCCTATGGTGATGCCTTTCTCAGCCTTGGTGCAGGGGGCAGGGACTTGATCAAGCCTCAACTTGATGTGCCAGGCTTTACTGACTTCCCATGGGAGGCCTTTCCCTTTCTGAAGAGTGGGTGGGAGTGGGGTGTGGGAAGGAAATGACCGGAGGAGGCATCGGGAGGAGGGAAGGGAGAGGGAACTGTGGCTGGTATGTACAATGAAGAAAAATTTAAATAAAAAAATAAAGTGTAAAATTTAACGTAAAACTCCACAGTTTTTGTTTCAAATGCTTGTTCTAACAACATGGATTGTACATATTTTGAGTATAGTTATTTTTGGTTTGTGGTATTTTTATTTATTTGAAATTTGTTAATTTTTAAAAGTATTAAAAAGAAAAGGCCCAAATTGACTCACAGTTTTAGAGGTTCTCATCTGTGACTACTTCCCATTTTGCTTTAGGTTCTTGGCAAAACAGCGTATGAAGGTGCCAGACTTGCACCCAGGCCCTCACTTTGACATTCTGCAGCCATGACAGGTTGTAGAAAATACCTAGCTGCAGCTGCATGTAGGCACCTGATTAAGCAGAATGTGCTGTGACCAAGACCTTTCCTGACCTTGCCCTGGTCACTGAAAGGCCACAAGATAACCCCCACCTGTGAAAGAACCAATCAGAGACTAGGCTAGCAGGGTCTGGACTTGCTTTACTGATAAGCATGAAATTCAGTAATCACAGCAACCGCCACCAGATGTAGCAATTTTCCTGCCTATGTAGTTAACCAATCAACTTAGGACAGATATCCACCCTCCCCCCGCCGTTCATAGGTCACCAACTCGGAGGCTTTTACTATGCAACTTGGAGACCCTCATAACCCCCTTGCTCTACCCCTAATAAATTCCCTGCCCCTCTGTGGCTCAAGGACTCTTCTGTTCCACTGCTGAGTCAGAGGTACAAGGGACCTGAGTTCGAACTAGTAATTTAAAAGACTCTGCTTTTGCGTTGGATCTGGTCTGTTGGTGGTCGTTGGGGTTCTGGACATTGAGGACAACACGTATTTTCATTTCCGTTGCTTGAGAAATATCCTGAGAAAAAATTAGCATAAGCAATGAAAGGGTTTCCTTGGCTTACAGTTGCAGTTCACAGTCGAGCATTTTCTGGAAGTCCATGCAAGAACTCGAGTAGCTAGTCATATGACAGCTACAGTTAAAAGCAAAGGAGAATATATACATCCTTGTTTGTTTTCAGCTAGTTTTCTATGCTATCATAAAGACAGATCTTCTGCCTAAGAAATGGTTTTGCCTACAGTGGACCAATTTGATGAATAGTCAAGATAATCCCCTACAGATAATCCTATGGGACAACCTGACCTAGATAATTCCTTATTAAGACTCTCTTTCTAGGTGATTCTAGATTTTCATGACTGTTACAAACCAAGCAGCACAGGCACAAATACTAAAACATGTGTGCCGTAGGGAGGTGTTTCAGATCTGAAATATAACAGTAAGTGGGCAGAACAGTACTTGGAACATGACACATGCCCTCCAGTGGTCGTATTTGGTCAGCTCTCGGTATCACTGGCCTTGGCCATCATGAACAACACAACTAAAGAAGCAGGCTCGAGTTTTCTCATATTTGAGCTTTTGGCCCTGCATCTTTCATCTCTGGTGTCTGCAATGTCCTTTTATTCCCGAGGTTTGTTTGACTATTCCACATTAGCTTGTTTTGTCTTCCGAATGTATGCATCTCTTGGCTATTGGCTGTTGAAATTTGGCTTTCCCAGTAAGCCTGAAGTCAATCCACCAGGATATGCCAATCTTACCTACTTAGGTATTCTGCATTATCTGAATTTTGCAATCAGCCTTGGTTTGACACTGAAGACCTGCTTGTAAGTGGGATATTCTGTCCTGCCATCCAGGTCCTAAATAACCAAACAGAAACTTATTAATTGTAGATACTTGACCAATAGCTTAAGCTTGTTACCAACTAGCTCTTGCAAATGAAATTAACCCATATTTCTTATCTATGTACTACCACGTTGCTGGGTACCTTTTTTTCTGCACAGCAAGTCCATTTTCCTTTGCTCCATATACCCTGGCCACTCTACCCTTCTTCACCTCACATTCTCTTTTTCCCTGTCTGCAAATCCCATCTAACTTCTTTCTGTCTAGCTATTAACCACTAACTCTTCATTAAACCAATGAGAGTAACAAATCTTCCCAGTGCACAAAAAGACTATGCCATAACACCTACTACTTCCCCATGGACTTTGAAGTCACAAAAGCCCAGCTTTGCAGGAAAATCCTGGATATGATGGCAGCATGATCTTAGACATCTTCCTTGACTGTTAAAGTCTCCTTTCTTCGTCTTTCAAACAACCTGAGGGTGTTGGCAAAAGATAATCTAGTAATAATGATGATAATAATAATAATAATAAAGAGCTTAGTCCAGGACTCAGTGTATTAATAGTGTTAATATATTTCTTATCTCCCTGAGTAAAAAAAATGCCAAATAATGGTAATTGTGATAATAATTATGATAATAAAATACACTTATTTATCTTTTTAAAGGTGGTATGTGTGTTTATTAATGTTTTCTCACTTATCTTTTCTGGCGGTGCATAGGACTGAAGAAAAGATGTGGAACAGAGAGATCTGACTTTGGATGCTGATCCTGTTGTTTATTCGATGATCACTTGGAAACCCTTAGTGTGTGTATATACATTTATTTATCTTCTTAAAGACGTGTGTGTGTGTGTGTGTGCGCGTGTGTATGTAGGTGTAAAGCCCTTGAACTAGGGCACCCATGCCAGATGATGACTTTGGGGGTCCTGCTTTACCACTGTCTACCTTATTTATTCTGGATAGGTCATTGAACGTGACTAGTAGCCAGGAATCCCAATCGGTTCTCCTGTCTCCACCCAGGGTTACAAGAGTATGTGACCACACCCAGAGTTTTACATGAGTTTTGATCTCAAACCCTCAGGATTCTGCAACAATTACTCTTAGTAGTTGAGCCACCTCTTTGTGTCCAAAAGAACCTTAATTTCTTCTTTATTATTTTTAATTATGTGTGTGTGTGTGTGTGTGTGTGTGTGTGTATGTGTGTGTTTGTGGGGTATATGTGTGTGAATTCATGCACCCACAGAGACTAGAGATGTTAGATATCCCAACTGGGGTCGTAAGTGGTTGTGAGTTGCCTGAGGTGGGTCCTAGGAATTGAACTTGGGTCTTCTGGAAGAGCAGTCCTTTTGTGCTCTTAACTACTGAGCCATCTCTCCAAGAGATCTCCAAGGCAACTCCCAAGTCTTTTTAATTGCAACGGAATCAGTAGAAGTTATGTAGCCTTTGAATAATCTAGTTCAAGTTTTACCTTTGAAGCTCTTAGCTCTGAGATAGCTAGCAAGTTGTTTAATCTTTGCTAAGATTTCCTGATCTAATTTAATTAGGGAATATAATGATACCAAATGTGTCAGTTTTAAAGACTATATGATAATCTATATAAATATTCAGAATTATAACAGGACATAATAAATATACAGGAACTTTCTAGGTATCATAAAAATACAAGTGCCCTAAGCAAAGTCTGGCACAGAACATAAAATACATTCAGTCACCGTTCTATCTTCTTCTTTAATATATTTGTGGTGTCTTTATAGGCTAGTGACACTAACCTTGTACACACTGTACTTAGTATATAGCTGAATGGATGAAGAACCTCAATCACCCCTTTATGTTATTGGTAGTTTATACATGTACATCAATATTATTTCCTGAAAGTACAGAATAATTGCATGTGAGCTAGAGATAGCAAAGCGTTAGTCCCTGAGACTGTTTTCCATTTCCCTTGGGCTGGCGGAGAGTTCAGGCGTATTTGAAGCAGTTTGAATTTCATATGTATAAAACTTCCTGATTTTCAGTCAGGTTGGTTGTCTGCCTAATTCTGATAATTTCAAATTAGAATATCTTTCAAATGAAACTACAGGCCAAGGCTGTCTGAAAATGAATTCATGAGAGAGGCAAATATTTTCATAAGCAGCAATAAAAAGATATGAATAGTGAAAAATGCTACAGCAGAAATTCTAGAGCCATAATGAACATAATGCACATTGTGCTTCACTCCTGGTTCTTAAATATAGCCTTCTGCCTCCTCTGAACGGTTTCCATTGTGACTTTAATTTTATTTGACCATTGTTACGATTTGTTCAATCTCTGAGCAAAGTCATTTTTATTTATAAACTCTGGTTTTTTTCCTGTTTATCATTCAACCTTTGTTTTGCTTTTGACTTTACTAAATTAAGATGACGTATATTGTGGCTGGTATCTTGCTTCGTGTATTGACAAGGTGAGTGTTTTTAAAAGTCATCTATCGCCAGTTCGATGGTGAACTTCATCATGACTCTACACCACATCTTAGATGATGATCCCTGTCTCTCACACTGCATGGCTCAATCTGGTGACAGTGATGCTATGTGCTTGTGTAACTCTGAAAGAGGAGGAGTTGTTCTATCAGAGGAAGCCAATGAGTGTCTTCTGAATTGTGAGGAGAAGGATATCAGTTTTCCTGGCAGAAAGTGAAGAAGGAATGCGAACGTCTCAGCAGAGTTCCTAGAATTTCTGCCTAAGGGGAAACTGAGGGAGGAGTGCATTAAACAGAGCCATAAAAAGGGAGAAGACAATTCCCAGGTCATCAGTAATGTAAGATCACATCATAGACCAGAAAAAAAGATCAAAACCCAATGATGGGAAACATTTTTAGACTGAAGTTAACATTTTTTTTCTATATAGAAAGAGCATGTTGAAAGTTTCTAATTACATTAACATTTATTTATTTTCCAATCGTTTCTTTTTAGCATGCATGCATTCATACATGTATGTGTATATCTGAGTACAGGTGTGTGTGTAGGACTGAGGTCAAAGTTAACCATCTTCTTTTTATTGCTCTCCACTTTTTTTTGTTTGTTTTGTTTTTCAAAACAGGGCTTCTCTGTAGCTTTGGAACCTGTCCTGGAACTAGCTCTTGTAGACCGGGCTGAGCCTCGAACTCACAGAGATCCGCCTGCCTCTGCCTCTCAAGTGTTGGGATTAAAGGCGTGTGCCACCACTACCAAGCTCCACTTTCTTTTTAGAGACATGGTCTGACACTTAACCTGGAGCTCACTAGTTAACTGCAGTCCTCCTTGTGTCCATACCTTCTCCAATGCTGGAGTTACAGACGTATACTCTGGGCCCAATTTTTATGTACCTGCTTGTATCTGAAGTCAGTTCCTTATGCTTGCATGGAAAGTACCTTTTCAATTTAGCTATCCCCCCTCCAACCTCCAAAATTAATGCTTCTGAAAACGTAAAACTTTTAATTTTATTTCAACACAATTTACAAATTTGGCCCTGTGTCCACTTTTGCAGATATTCACAAGTATATTTAAAAATGAGAATGTGCATAATTGCAAACCTATACAGCTTAATGTTAACTCAGAAATATATTTTAATAATAAAATACCTCAATATGGTAAGGAAAATAACAGTTTTTAACTTTGGAATTTTTCATCCTTGTATAGCATAGTGTTCTAAACCATTGAGACTATGTAAGTTTTATGCTGATGGGTTATACTAGCTTTTTGTTCTGTCTAAGAAATCATTCCAACATAATAGCAAGGATCAGCAGATGCTTACTGATGGTAAGTATGAAGTCTGTGTATGAGATAGGAACCAGCACGCAGGGCTGTCTAAGGTGGAAGTCAGGTGTCAGACACTCTACATTCTTATCTTAGATTCAGGGTTCTCTTGGAAATGTACTCAGACAGTTATGTGAATGCAATTATTTGTGGTCTCTGGGATGAAGTCCCCATTTTCTTCTTCACTGACAGCTTCAGGTCAGTGTGATTAAGAAGTCACTTAGCTCCTGTTCTTCTGGTAGAGCTCCTCACGTTCAGAATTGTTTCAATGGCAGCACACTTTCTTTGCTCCCTGAGGGGAAAAGCACTGCAATTTCCAAACAAAGACTTCTGTATTATTTTATGTATGTAAAAAGATATGTCCATATACTTATACATATATACATATATGATATACACTTTCCACCATCTACATTCTATGTATCAACAAAAACAATGAAGTATTCTTAATGACTATGATATGACTACACTCTTTTAGGTTTTACTTATTTTTGTTGGATATTTCCTTCATTTCAAATTTTCTATATAACAAATGAATCTTATATCTACATGGATATTTTACATACACAGAATGCATTATGGGATAGAGGGTGTTTTGTTTGTTTGTTTGTTTATCTTGAGACAGGGTTTTGTGTAGCCCTGACTGGTGTCAATATGCTATGCAGCTGATGAGGGCTTTTAAAATCTTCATCCTCTGTAAGTTGAAACTGTTCATTCATTTCCAGGCTGCCTAGACCAAATAATAACACAGAAACTCTATTAATTTCAACACTGTTTGACCAATAGCTTAGGCATATTTTTAGCAAACTCTTACATCTCAAACTAACTCACAATTCTTGTGTGTGCTAGCCACACAGCTTGGTACCTTTTATCAGTGAAGCAGTCTCATCTTGCTTCCTCTGCATCTGAGTGAGGACTGCAGACTGAGCCTTTCCTCACCCCAGAATTCTCCTGTTCTGGTCACCCTGCTTATACTTCCTGCCTGACTACTGACCAATCAGCATTTTATTAAACCAATACAAATTGTGACAAATCTTTACAGGGTAGAAGGCCATTGTCCCACAGTAGTCCTCCTGCTTCTGATCCCAAGTACTAAGATTGTGTGTACCACCATGACTGGCTGTAGGTTATGGATGTGAAAAAATTTAAAAGTTAAATTCACTGCAGGTAGGCAGAAGGCAGCACCAAAACATTGTAACCATTACATTAAGGTTACTCCATTAAGAAATGTCTATATTCACATTGAGATAGATTGCAGTATAACTCACAATACCTCTATAAAGTAATTAATATATGTAAAGTTACCGATTTGTGGCAGTGACAAATATGACATAGAACACAATGCTAATTCTACAAAACTAGCACAATATTTTGCTCTTTTGAGTGGAACAAAATAGTGTTTGTTAGTAGGTACATGAGTCTCCTAGGCAGATGCAAAGATAGTCTAATGGAATTAGGGGACTTTGGTTTTCTTTTTATAAACATGAAACAAAAATCTCTTGCTACATTGCCTAAATAGTTCTGTGTCTGCTTCCTCATCTACAAAAATGGCCTTAGCTATGTTATTAGAGAGTTTAGAATCAAAGTCTCGTCTGTTCCAACAAAGTAGGCTTGACCAGGCATCCCCTAATATCAGTTAAAGAGACAGACAATAATAAAAAGCAAAGAAAGATTTATGCAATATGGCCCCATTGGGAAGAGGAACAAATGAGATTCAGTGACCCCAAGTCTATTTTTGGGGTACCAACTTGCGACTTTGATTTAAATAGAGGACAAAAGAAGTGTGTAATTAAGCAGTACTGCTTCCAATGTGGTCCTGCCCATCACTAACATATTGTAGCCTTAGCTTCAGTCTATCTTGCAAGGCAGTCCAATAACAAGCTATCAGAATAATGTGAACTCTCTTCCAGAAAGCAAGTTCCTCCTCTGACTGGCACTAATATTTTAGTTCTTTCCCTTACCTCAGCATGAGATTTCTGGGGAGATTTTAATTCTTTGAGTTTACTGTTGCAAGAATCTGGTAACCGAAGTGAGAG